AGGAATATTTTGGCTAGTTGCCAAGTGCTTACGATCAGAAACAGAAAAAATATCCTCTCTGCTTAATTTTATTTTTTCTTCTGACTGAACTTCGCTTTTCAGAAATTCAATTATTGCATCAAGACTCGAAATGTTTCGTTCAGATTCAGTCATTTTTCGTTGTCTTTCAAACCATCGCAATACGTGAATAGGAATAGCACTTTCCACAAGAGGATATAAAATTGTTCCACACTGATCAGTTCGTCGTTACACCAAGACTGCTCAGGGCTCTAAGTTGTGTTGAAAGTTTGTTATACAAACTACTACTCGAAGAATCCTGCTTCTTTTTCGCTGCGTTATCCAAAAACAAGTTTTATTAACTCTCGAACAATAAAAATCAGAATTAATAAAGTACTTTACGGCCATAATCTCTCAGTAAGGCTTTCTATAGCTTCAAAGGATAATCTTTGGTCGTCACAGGAAAAGATTCTACAATATCTTCTAGCTTCTGATTTAATTTTTGTTGACTGTATCAAATAATGGAATTTGTCTGCATTCGTTAAGTTATTATTTTCATGTATGTTTTTAAACTGATTCCAGAACGTAAGCCAATTTTTTAAATCACCTGCGAACTTATAAAGTTCTACTTTCGGTAGGCGTTGGCACAAAGTTTTTCATATATTTTCATCAGTAACTAATTTCTGACTACTCTCTGACGATGTATTTTGGATTTCGTTTAATTTACTCTTAATATTATCGAGAAATCGTTCCGATTTTAACTGTATCGTAACAGCCTTTTCTCGTTAATCCTCTGTTATTTCAAATTCTGTTTCGAATTCTTTATCATCAGTTATAGTATCTAAATAAGCACTGTGCGTCAATTCTAATGTTTCTGCCTTTTTCTTGAACAAATAAAAACATATTTCTGCTTCTTCATAATCAACATTATCATCATTTAAAAGTTCATCTAGTCTTTTATATGCTTTAGTAAAAGCTGAACGTTGCGCAGTTTTGTTTCTTTTCATCACTTCCATTTTGTCTCAAGTTTAAAATATTCAGATAAAAATTAGGCAAGAATAGTATTTTAAACTTCAGTAAAACAATAATCAATAACTTCAAAACGGAAGTATAAGGTAATCAACTTACCCTATCTATTCTCAGGGATAAATCTTTTTTAAGTCCTGATCTATTCTTTCATCCGACATGTTTCCAACAAACACGCCCACCCGGGGGCGCCAGAAATGTCTTGAACATCATTGTGAGTTTAAGGGAAAATAATGAGCGGTTTGTTAAAATTTATATCAGATGAAAGATCTTTTAATATATAGCATTTTAATACTATTTAGCACAGTGTAATAGGTTCATTTTACAATACGCAACATCCATAAAATGATCGTTACAACGCAGTTCGATCATCCATCTTTTGAACAACAATCTCTCTCGTTGCCATTCTGTAACAGAGAAACTTACCTCTCATGCAGTTTTATCGTGGCGCGACACGTGGAATTAATGGGATTTTCCAAATCTACCCTTTTATATGGAAAGAGAAAATTCACTCCCATTTTGTCCTATGAAGGCATGCGCATTTTTCCTAACAGACGAAAATCGGAATAATTTACTTTTGAAAAAGAAAATGATTTTACTTAAAAAATAGGATATCTTTTACTAAGTGACCTAGAAGTAAAGAAAGATATTTCAACTTTTATGACACCAGCGTTTCTGAGAGGGTTCACTACAATTATACATTATTTGTAAAAATATTCCTAATGTATAACGTGGATATGAACTAGTTCCTGAGAAGGTACCTCACAAAGGCGTTGTTTTCCTTTAAGCAGATAGACCTAGTGTGCTTTTGTTATAATTCAATACAGATTAGTATATATTTATTTCAATTTCTGGGACTGCGAACGTAGTAGGTGGCTGAATTTAGTAACTTAATTTAAATAATTGGGGTGGGGGTGCACTAATAACATAGTCTAGTCTCAAAATGTATTCCATATATTTTGCAATTTATTGAAAGGAAAAATAAAAATATCTGATATTAATTATAGAATGGATCTGTATTTAATGTTTCGTTACTGAGTAATAAAATAGACTGCACCATTCTGTCTGATCTTAATTATACATTTTCATTGTGTAAAGTACACTGGCTGGAGAATCTGCAAGAGGAAAAATATCTTAAAGTTATACTTCAAACTACATTTAACCTTTATTTTGTTAGATTTTATTTTAGTTTTTTGTACGTAAATCCTTACTGTTCTTTTTGTTTTTCTCATACAACGCATCGTTTAATCCAGATGTCCTTCAGTTATTGAAATTTAACTAAAATAAAAGAAGTCATATGTTAGATGAAGCGAAAGAAATGATAGAAAACAGTTTTCAGTGTAATATCGTTATATTCTCATTTGCACCTCTATAAATGGTGACATTTAGATGGTAAAACTGACGTGAACATTTAGATGGTAAAATTGTTCAGGAGACTTAAGTTTACATACCAGAATGTGCCTCTTAACTGTCGGGGGTAGCTGGAAACGCTTCCAGCCGCAATCCAATATATGTGTATTATACAGTGGCTTCGTGGAGACAACTATATATTTACACTTCACAAATAGTAATCTAAAAGTAATTGAATATAAATTTCTCTGAGACATTCGCTAATCCTGGATTCAGATAGCAATCATTTGTTTGGCTGTAATTTATTAAATAAACAAAAATTATCACAAACGCGAATAAATCAACTCTTTGTAAAAATTTAAAATATGTCTTGCACGTAATTAATTTTTTAATTTAATATATTTAGCTTTAAATTTGCATACTTAGTTTAATTTTAGCGTTAATCTTTACTTATTATTTTAGGTAATAATTATATGTTAGTTGTTATCTTACTAGATACGTTTAAACCTGATATCACGATTTGCAGTATTTGAATCACACTCTATTAAATTCATCTGTTTAATAAACTCAAATGTGTTCTAAAGGATGTGGATTTTAGCAAACGGTGGGTCGTGTATACTATTTCAATCTCGTAATGATTTCGCAGGGATTTACTACTTTCTTTTACAAATAAGATATACTCCAGGGTTTCTGGATGAACCACCTACTGCCTAACATGGAGACTTCTCAGTTGGGCTCAGTCCTTGTTGCAAATTTGATAGTGGAACACGTACTTAAAACCATTAGCATTACCATCATACTTACAGCACATTTCTTTCATTATTGCTATTCCCACGTTTAACATATAATGAGATCTGCTGCATTTACACAAATACGTAATTTTTAGCTTAAATAACATACAGGTACAAAGTCTTTCTAACCTTTCAATGATCAAATACTAAATCCTGACTATGTTCAGCTAGAAGTTCAGACACGTCGATGTATTTATGTCCTTCATTAAATCCAGTACAAGGTAGCCTCATTTAATGTTTTGAAAGAGAAACAATAATACTCTTACAACATTCGGACAGCCTTTGCGTTGAAGCCCCCAGCATATTATCGCCATTTTGCATTTTATTAATAAATGTTTCAAAAATCTTAGAAAAATATATAAAGAATATAAACAATGAAATTGAAACAATAAGACATATATGACATTCCAATTGCCAGATGAAAGGGCGTAAAGAATAGGATCTTGCTTCCTTATAATGTGTTTAACAGATTACATATCTAGAAAGAAAATTATGTGTTTTTCTGCAATTGTTACAAAACGAAATGGAAGAAAATTCAGTATCTTAAATTAAAATATACACTCTTTTGCAAATATATCGAAGCAAGAAGGACTTTTGCGATAGTGACGAAATTTGGTATGCAAAACCATCTTGATCGAACATCCAAATGATCAAAGTTTCAAGGCAAATGAACAGGAGTTGCGATCATAGCGCTCATTTCCAGTGCGGAATTCGCAAAGTATAAAACCAGTAACAGAGGTGGAAAATTTATCTTTTTTGTTGTTGTTGTTGTTGTTGCTGTCATTGTAATTCCGTAAAGAAGCAACTAAAGATGCCATTACGACGATATCGAAGACCTTATACACAACTCTACGACTTCGAATGTAGTTGCATTGTAGGGTTGCGTGAAGCTGGTTGGTCATACCGAGCAAATAAGCCGCCACCTGCAGCGTACAGACACTGCTGTGCAAATATGTTAGCAGCAATGGTTGCTACAGGGAACTTGCCAACGAAATGAAAGTTCTGGAGGGCCAAGGAGCACAAACGCGAGGCAAGATAGGATGATTGTTCGCCAGTCCCGAACCGCCCCAACAGTATCATTGTCAAATATTCAACGCCCTATAGCCACGTAATTACATCCTTTGTGGTACCGTCCATCATCCCACGTCACTTGTCAGGAGCCTTTGTTTCACAAAGGCATACAGCCATAACCATTGCTGTGATCGTGGGGGGACGCTATTTCTTATGGCAGCAGGTAATCTTTAGTCATCCTCTGTACATCTTTAAAAGCTCAACGATATGTTGATACTATCCTGCGGCCAGTTGCATTACCCATCATGGCACGTCATCCTGGGGCCATTTTCCAACAAGATAATGCCAGGGTACATACCGCTCGCATAGCTCTGGACTGTCTCCGTGCGGTTGATACTCTTCCTTGGCCAGGAAGGTCAACAGACCTTTCACCAATCAAGCACGTCTGGGGCATGGTAGGCTGCCAGAATCGAGGGCCACAAATTATCGCAGATCTGGAGCGACAACTGATGAAATCCTGGCAGAATGTGTCATAGGATGACATTAGGAACATCTACCACTCCTTGCCTCGGCGAATGCAAGCATGGATTGCCGCCAGGGGCGGTTAGACCAACTAAATATTCGTATACTCAATTGGTGATTGTGAGGCGTGAACAGGTACTATGACTTTTATTTTTTAATCATTTTATTATCTGTGTATGAGCTATACACATATTCAATTACATCAAAAACAACCCCTTCCTTCATGGTGCTTGGATGTGTTTGCAAAAGAGTGTATTTGTTCTTCTTTTTATAAATATTAGTTTAAGAAGTTTTAATACTTACTTTTGATTTTTCAATTGAATAAGAATATCTGAATATCCTTGAAAAGGAGAAAATTAAGAGGAGGTTATTTAATTATTTATTTCAAGCGAATATAGATAATTTTAAATATGAAAATCAATATGAAAAAGTAGTTTTAGCTCGCTAAGTGGTATAAGAAGCACATTCTTAAGGGGACTCATACACCTTAAACCCCTCATGATCTTCGAATATGTGACTATTGCAAGAATTGGGATATTTTATTTATTTTAAAAGCAATTACTTCCAACTTTTTACAGCTGACTTCATGGTATAGCTGCTTTGGAAACTAGTAACCAGAAAGTTTGTGTTGCCACAAATAGTTTTGTAATTTAATCCTCTTTGTGGCAAAATATTTCGCCATATTTCCACCTTGCGCGCATGATATTTTAAAAATGGCTAATGGTACATACTTGAAATTTGACGGAATTCTTTATATGGGCACTATTTTCTAACTGAACCAAAAATCTGATGAATATTTTAATTTTAAAAAATTTTATGGACGAAAATATTACACATTTTTTTAATAAAATACATTTTATAAACTCATCTCAATATAAAATAAAAATTTGACATGAAATTTTTAGAATTTTAGGTTCACAGTATTTTCCAGATATTATAAAAGCTATATATTAAATATAGAATTAAATTACGAAACAGAATGTTTTAAATAGTTTGCGCAAGTTGGAAACATGACGAAAAATGTTGTCACAAAGCAGATTAAATTATGAAAATATTTGTGGCAACACAAACTTTCTGATTACTATTTCAGAAAGCAGCTATATTATATTGTCATCTGTAAAAAGTTGGTAATAATTGCTTTTAAAATAAATAAGTTATCCGAATTCTTGCAACAGTCACCTATTCGAACATCTTATGGATTTTAAGGTGTATGAGTCCCCTTAAACTGAGTTGTACATAGAAATAAAATGATTATTTTTATACATTTGATAAATTTGATAATTTTTTAAGAAAAAAACTTACAAGCAGGATTCTTTACAAATCCCCGAACATTCCCTTTCATAATCATACATATATATTCCACAGAAGTTCATACGGTAATCTATATAAGAAATAACGATTTGAATAAATAAACATAATAAAAAGAAAGAAATGTTGCATATATTCTCTGAAATATAATTTAAAATCTTTGCTGTTCACATTATAATTTGATTAAATTGAAAACAAATAAATGAATACAATTTTTTTAATTATGTTTAAAATTTCCCATCACTGACATTACTTATATAAATCCACTGCTATTATTGAACGTTTTTTTGCTTACAGCAAAACAAGATTTATCTAAATAAATTAAAACTGCATAGACTGGAAGGAGATATTACTGCTAGATTTAATGACATAAAAATATTGCAGCCATCGTTTACATATTTAGAAAATCTTTTCCTGTTGATAATATAAAAATCGCTTTCTTTTCTAACCCCCAGGTGCTAGAGACATTACGGCTGTAGAGGAACTAATGAAGGTTAAATAAGATGAAGGATTAAAACAAGTAAAACAGAACTGTTGTTCAACTAGTGAGGCTTGAAAACAAGAACCGGAATAAATACATTCTAAAACCATTTCAGTGTGCGTTGAGAAATGATCTCATTTTTCGATATTTCGTATTGTTGTCTTTTTTAATTGTGAGAAACACTTAAATTCATTAAACATAAGAATCGGTCTAATCAGCATTTAACTGAGATGGTGCCAACTGCGTAAACATATCATAAACCAAACTTCCGGCAGTTAACTGCTAAATTGGAAAACATTCTTAAACAATTCACAAAAAAAAAAAAAAAAAAAAAAAAAAAAATCTTACTTTAAAGATTTTTTTAATTATTTGATTGAATGAGAGCAACTTTTTTTACATTATTTGAAAACATTAAACTTTTTAACTGTCAAAGAATGAAATAAAATAATAACGTTTGGATATTGATCATCTTAAATTTATTTATAACTTTGTAAAAGGAAATCAAGTGAATTAATTGCTTTCTTTACGATGTTCAGTAGTTTAGTTTATGTTGCGGCAAAGCCAGCGAACTATTAAAAATAACATTACTGTTAGCAATTAATTAGTTCCTTTATTAAAAACACATTCCGTCAAACATTACCGTTCAAACATTAGTTGCTAGATACTTGCTTTATTCAGAAACATTGCCGTCAACATTACTGCTAAAAAAATTACAGTTGAAATTATCACCGTTCTAAAGAAAACTGTTGTTGCCAATCAGGAAAATACATTTTAAATAAAATTAATACGCTGCGTTTACATTCGGGCATCCTGACTTAGTTACGACCTCGGAACATTAAGAACTTATACTTAAAAAATTAAATCTGTAATATTAATGTTTATAGTTCGAAAGGCTTTAACTGTCATATAGATTCACCGTCGTTTTCTATTCTTTTTTCCGTGTCCTTTTTTCAGTTTTAGTAATATGCGGCGTGTTGTTATCGTTATCCCCAGTAACACTAATGTCATCACCCTCATCATCGTCTTCTTCTGATTCAGCTTGATACTGCCATGACTTTAATTGGCTCACATGAGCTGTCGTACTAAAGAAATGTTCTTTCACATTCTCTTCTAATTGAGTCAGTCTGTAGGTATCACTTGGTAAAACTTCTGTAACTACCAAAGGTCCTCCATACTTTTGTTGTGTTTTGGTTGATTCTCCAGTTGATTTAGGTACTCTTCTCATAACTACTATTTCTCCTCGTTCGAATGTTAAAAATTGCTTTTCTTCTTGTCATAATTTGCTTTCATTTTCATCTGCATATCTTCAATTTTCTTCTTTAACTTCTTCCTTTTTAGGTGTTTTCTTTTACCAGTAATTGTTTTCGTAGATCTGTCTATTCCCTCATTTATCTTAGATTGCTTTACATATGGATTTACATCTTCCCGAGGTTTATTTCCTTTTGCAATATCTTTTTCCGGTTTTCTTTTGTTTTGTTTCTCAACAAACTTATTTCCCTTTAATTTTGTTTCTTCACCAGCAAAATTATCTATTACAGTTTCTTTTTGTAAACTTTTTTCTTTCCCTGTATTAAACTCTTTCTCAAGTGCTGTAATTTTACAATTCTTACTATATTTCTTAAGCTTTTGATTATAATGCTTTTCTTGAATAGACTTACATTCTTTAATATCACTGATATCATCACTTCTAGTTTATTCTTTAGGATATTTTTTTTCTTCACTCGTATTCTGTTTAACGATTTTCTTTGAAGTCCCTTTCCTTTTCAGTGATTTTCTACCTTTGGAATTAGTGACTTTTACAGTATTTGCATTTTCAAACTTTCCATCATAGTCCAGAGTTGCTGCCTTTTCATCGTTGTAGTTAGTGACTGGTATCACTGTTTCTCCCTGTATTACTTCCAATAATGAGCCCAACTCATCTTCCGATCCACTTATTAAAACATAACCGTTATTTATTTCATCAGTTTTAACTTTCACGAAATTAACCGTATTACTTTCGATTGGAGTTTCTTGGGAAGGCTTCAGTTTAATTCGCGGAGTGTTGCTATCATTTTGCAACTGTGAAAATGGGCAGTCATTAGCATAGCGTATGTGCAAGGTATTACCTATCTTGGCGTATGCAATATGTGGTAAATCAATCCATGTTCGACCAACTAATAAGTCGCATGGTTGCGTTTCATCTCCTACATTTAGAACTGTAATGTCCTTTCCTTCCACAATATCAATCTCTAAGTTAACAGTTACTTTCCCCAATGTTCTAGCGGCTGGTTTACTCTGGTTCCCAAAGTCAAACAATTCCTCCACATCAGGTTTTATAATAAGATTCAGTCACATTTCTTGCCTCTTGCCAAATAAGCCATCTTAGACTTCAATTTTCAAATAATAATGCACAATAATTATACTTAAGTTATTGATCCGTTTAGCATACTTAGACATAACATAAACAGTTTATAAATTCACGTATCTTTCTACTTTCAGTTTTGGCGAGCTTCCGCATTCAGTTTAGGCTTAACGTACATTAAGGCAATACGTTGTTAAATCCTAGATAATAATTCTAGTTAATCCCACTTGAAATGTTAGCAATTAATTAGTTCCTTCATTAAAAACACATTCCGTCAAACGTTACCGTTCAAACATTAATTGTTAGATACTTGCTTCATTCAAAAACATTACCGTCAACATTACTGCTCAAAATTACAGTTGAAATTATTACCGTTCTAAAAAAAAATGTTGTTGCTAATCAGGAAAATACATTTTAAATAAAATTAATACGTTGCGTTTACATTACCTTTTTTGTGAATGACATCACTTACGTTTTTGTATTCATAAATGTCTTTTACTTGTTCTGTACTTCATGTTTATGTTAGGAAATAAATAAGTATAAAATACTATCTCCTAATATCTGGTGCCGAAAAAACCATTTACGAAACAAGACCTTGAACTTATACTTCCTACTGTTGGATTATTCTTGCTGAATTATTTTACTTCCAACATTAAAACTTAGTTTTGTTTTTGTTCTTTTCTACTACTCGGGCAATGGCGCAGACCGGTAAAGCTGTAGTCAAAATGACGCAGCTGAAACGAACGTGGAAAGCCGTGCGAAGTAATGTTTCTCGCTTTTCTACTGAAATTAATACCTTGGACGATGATTTCTCAATTGAGAAAGTTGAATATATTTGTAATCGCTTAACAACTGCTTTAAATGATATGAAACTAATAGATAACGAAATTCACGACTTCCTTTCTGATGATGAATATGAAAGTGATAATTTGCAGTGTGAAAACTACATAGATACTGGTGAATCCGCGATTTTCAAAGCACGAAAAATTATTCAAAATAAATTATCGCCAGCTCCAAATAATGTTACTGCCTCAAATATGGATACCAATGATTTAGCGATGACATTTGGCGACCCTTCTACTACAGCGCCTATGACTCAATCATATACAGTTAAATTGCCAACAATTAAACTACAATCATTTGCAGGAGAAATTGAACAGTGGCATTGTTTTGGGGAACAGTTTAAATCTTTTATAGATGCCAATCCCCATCTTTCTGTTATTGATAAACATGGTTTCCTCAGAGGTTATTTAGATGGTGAAAGCTAAACGCCTTGTTGATGGAAATTAGTGTAATAGGAAGACACCTATGAAACAACAAAAGAATTGTTTGGAGGAAAGATATGGAAATAAAGATCGAATTATCCAGTCATCACACTTAGATTACTTTAGAACATTTAAATATTATTCAAGACCCATCTCCTACGCATCTAAATTATCTTTATTAAGAAGGTAACAGAAGAATTCAAGCTGTAACTGCTCTGGGTGAAAATATTGAAGCATAGGTAGAATCCTAGTGCCAAAAATTATTCGTGCATTCCCCAATGATATTTTTTGCCGCTGGATTATCTATGCCAAGCGTAAAAAACTAAACGAAGGTAATTTAATTTTACTACATTGATGCAGTTCTTGACAGAAGAAGTGAAAGCTGTAGTTTCAGCACAAAGAGTTAATGGTACGTCTTTTTCTGATCACACCGTTAAGTGAAGTGCACTGTAGAAAATTTTGATATCAATTCCAAAACAGTAAACAAACGTAAGAAAATTTCACCATTTTGTTCATTTTGTGATACTACAGGACATTGGCCTCAATATTGTGAAACTCTGGTACAGACTATGATACTCGTGTTCAGAAATTTAAAACTTCAAATCGCTGCTTTTCTGATGTACTAACCGTGGTCATAGAGTTTCAAACTGCCCAAAAAAATACTGCACGATGCACTAAATGCAAGAAAAGGCATCATGTTTCTATTTGTCCTCCTGTTGAAAACAATCAACTGCGGATAACTAACAGTGCTGTAAATCACATAACCTTTCCTAAAACAATTTTCACACATTTGCAAACTGCTCGTGTGTATGTTACTGGCCCCACAGGCATTACTAAATTAACACGCTGCATTTTCGATGGTGGTAGCCAAGCAAGTTTTGTTCACACAAACCTCATTGAAAAACCTTAAGCTTAAAGTTGTCAGTTCTGCCTCACTTTTCAGTTCAAGCATTTGAATCTTTTACTTCACACAGAGACAAACGTAG